GGACTCCATTGTCTCAGCTGTGCACCAATGTATTATCCTACAAAGACAAGAAAAAAAAGCTTCACAGGCCTCATGTAACTTCTGTTAACATAAGACACACTAAAAACTGTAAAATCTAACCAATGATCCAATAGGATACAGGAGTAACCCACAAAAAGAATACTGAAATATAACTTCCAGTGCTTTGCAGTTATGTATTCACACTGCATACATGTATCCGTGTGTGCATGCCTGTGGATTATATGTCATTGCTTCTGGTCCTCAAAAACTCCTGAATCTCTTGATTAGACCTAACAAAGCAATTAAAGACTGAGAAATTCAACCATTTCTTGCAAACAGGTAAATGAATAAAGAAGGGCATCTGTAAACTGCTCCCATGGAGCACACAGCCTCTATATCAGTATCGACCAACAAAGAGAACCAAATCTGAACGAAACCAGGCTCCTTGAATTCCAGTGCTCTCGAAGCTACCCATTTTCTGAAGGGATTGCTTAAGACTCCAGACCAGCAAAAGAATAGATGTGTATTATACAGAAGACATGTAAAAAATGTATTCTTTCCTACACTGTGCTTATCAAAAGACAAGCTCAAAATTCAGTATTTTACCTATCAGATTGCTGACATTACTATTTGTATAAGTATTAATGAACTTATGTATTAATCAGTCGCTGCAGGGGAAGGAAACAAGGAATGATCTTTTTATGCTTTAAGAAAACTGTACAAGAAAGTTTTACATCACCTTGCAAATTTAAGAGCTAAAAGACTGTGGCACCTTATAATTTCATTCATCTTCCCCTGTACTGTGTAATTCCACAGATTCCTAAATTGTCCTAATTAGTTTAAAAAAATCTGACTTGCTTATTCTGCCAGATAGAAGTTCTGACGTCTATGTCCCACTTATACAATTGTCTCTCTGATACTGGATACACAAGAAAGAATAAAGATGGGAAACAGTGAAAAAAAGAGATAGACATCTTCCTTATTGGTGTGAGCAAAGATGAAGAGAGAATCCAAGAAGAAATGATTCCCTGGAATCAGTATTACATGGTATATTCAGAAGCAACCCTTAATGATATTTCTTCATTTTCTCTTTTAAATAAGGTGTTAAGACTATTATTTCTTCAACCTATAGTAAAATAAACCTAAGACATCATCAATTGTACTGAAATCTTCAGAAACACTATTTTCAATCATAGCCTTATTTGTCATATACTCAGCTCACTGGCACATAATTTGTGTAAAACTACTTCTCTGAAAAATAGAGAATGTTATTCCTGTTCAAATGGAAGAGAAGATTCTTCTGTGATAAAGATGTTTGCCAAGTCATGGTAAGAAGGACAAAATAAGCAAAGGGCACTAACAAATAATCCAGTGAGCACTGGGACTAACCAGCCCCAATGTCCTAATCAGATATGGGGTGCTTGCTTGTACAAATTAAAGCTCTTCCCACGGTATTATACACATTTATAAGGCAATGTTCTGGTCTGCATACATTCGCTGGTGTCTATTAATATATGCATTTATACCACAGCTTTTTCCACATTCAAGACACAGATGGAGTCTACTTCCTCTTCAGAGCTCCTTAGTCTCACAGAAACTGTAGCAATTTATTTCTGACACCTGCATACCTCAAACTTAACTGAATTCAAACACACTAAAGTTATCTGGACAGACATACATTAGTATTAAACTAGAAAGATAGACTTTTCTAACAGCGGTAATAAACTTACTAAACTTCTTAAAAGTTATACAAGTTACTGAACAATTCACTCCAGTGTAGATATGTGTAACACTATTAACCTAGTCCTAAGGAAACTCCAGCATGGTGCTGGAAGCAACACAACTATGCTGCTCTATCTTGACTATTGTTGCAGTTATATCCCACCTTCAGTATTCTTCCATGGTGAAATGAAAAAATACACTAATGCATAATACACTGTGGCTCCACAGATATTTCCCCAATTTCCATGTCAGCTGAGTGACACAACTTTGTGCTACTAAATGAAGAACACACTAGGCGTTTTAAGAAAATATATTATAAAAAAGAAAGGTATCTGGCTGCACAGGCCTCAATCTTGCAAATCCTCCACTTTGAAGTAACCATGGCTCCAACTGGACTACTCAGGAGCAGAACCAGGTATGACTGCAAGCATGTTCAGGATGGAGTTGGTCTTAATTATGGGTATGGGGACTGTGAGTTTTAGATACGAGAAGTTGAGTCGAATACAATGAGATAATCTTAAGTACAATTATGTACTTGTTGAAGAACATAGCTGGAAATACATTACAGAAACAAAATTCCTTCACTAAGTAATTTTATTAGAGTATGCGACATTTTATGACAATATATTAATTTTACTTTATGACTTGTGCTGTGGAAAAATGCATGCAATTCCTAACTGTGCAGCCCAAGACCAAACAGCTTTTAGACAGTGGCTAACACCTGTGTATAAAGGAACTTTTCATTAACCTAATAAATAGGTAGAAACAAGGATTATGGAGTATTCTTAATAGGAGCTCTAGTATTTCCAGCTCTCAGAGATTTTATTCTGCAGCTCTTCCATGAGGCAAATTCTATATGCTAAAAGACTATAAAATCAATCCTAATAAGTTTAACATAACCACAAATCTAATTTATTTGTTTCTGTCTTGTGCTTTTTGCACTGTCTCACTCACTCCCAGTCATCAAACCTCCTCTAGTATCAATGCAACACAATCTTGTGTTTGAACTCTCAAAACTAAAGGGATGCTTTGCAGAATTAATTGTGGAGATATTATGAAGAAAATGCACGTGCATGCATGTTCAAATTCTTTTGTATAAATCTGAAAGGGATATTCTCTGTACAGGTGGTGGAAAAATGGCATAGTATTGATTAAATCAGATATGCCCTCTGCTGTGGGTGACAGACTAACAGCAGTGAGAAGCATGGAAAAAACACTAGGCGAGAATGTTAACACCATTCCACTGTCTGAAGGACTAGGAATTAAAAATTAAGCCTGGTAGGCTCTGTCCAACCCATTCCTCTCCAGCTAGACAGTATGCAAACTACTGTTTAATTTAGCTAGTGAGTAAGGAATATCAAGAAGCTTACTTCTCAATATGCAGCTTGGATTTTAAGTTTACATCCATCTAACACTGTTTATTTGTAGAAATTCTCATGTCAACATTTGGATTGTCATCTCAAATAGCATATTTTGCTTTGTAAAAACAATAATTACCAACTTCAGTAAAAACTCAATATAGGTCAACAGGAAGAATGCACCTAGAAAATCCATGCAAAAGAAATATAATTATTTTGGGTAGTATCTATGATACCACAAATCATAATGATTTAACCGTATCCGAAACATGCAACTTTAGTTCTCAATTGTATGAAAACTGGTTTGTTCAGTTAAGACTGAACTATTATTTATAGAAAAAATAACAACCACAAGAGAATAAAGACATTCACCCACAATGAAACTTTCATTTCAAGTTAAAGGGTAATAAATGAGAAAAGTACAGGATCTTAAGAGTTACAATGTTCAGACAAGCAACACAGGAAATGCAGTAAATGTTCAAGAACTTTGATTTTTTCCTGTTTGATTTTCATGGGTAACAGTAATGCTACTAAGTCCATGAAACCAGAAACTGACCCTAAAAAGAAATTCAGTTGGTCAATGTGTTGTTTTCATTAATTTCCCTCACAATAATGGTCTTTATGCTGATGTACATCAGCAACAATACCTCAGCACAGTAACAATCGCTTGGCAAGGTAGTATGCAACAGCCAACATGAAAATAAGAAATGAGGCAAAACATTCAAAATATTGAAATAACAATAAATCCAAAACAAGGATTCCTCATCATTCTTTAATTCTCACTCATGTAAAACAACTGCATGATCTAAAACTATTAATTTATTCTTATTCTAATTCATAGCTTAACCTGATGTATGGATAAATATGCACTCTGTACAGCAGCGCATCACACTATTTTGACCTCTAACAAGCTGGGATTCCCCTTTGTGAACCAAGGCAGCTGGCAGGTGCATCAGTACTTCATGCCACCCAAACTTCCATCCTATCCATCTGACCCAAACAATGACGAATTCACAGAAGAAATAGGTGCTGAAACAACCTAGTCTCACCAAACAGAAGAAAAAAAAAAATTCAGGCACAACCAACCTTTTACACTTGTTACAAAAACAACAGGAGGATTCAAATGCAATGATGCACAGTGCATGGTGCAGCTGTGCTCACTGTCACCTTCACGATTTTTATTCAGCATTTCGGTACCGAGCTGCAGCTGAAACCCTACCAAAAACTCACGGAACGAGATCGATGCACGGGGACCCGTCTGTCACCTGCTGACAGGCGAAACCTAACCTAAGCTATATGCCGCACAAACGCCTGGATTGTCTCTTGCGGGCCAGTCCTCTCGGACAAAGTATTTTCTGCTACTGACAGTGAGACCGGACTCGCAGCGCGGAACCCCCTCAGCGGCGCGCGGGGAATCGCCTTTCCCGCTTCCCGAAGGGCCGGTGACTGCTCGCTGCTCCGCGGGGCGGCCGGGAAGGAGCCCGACCGGGGCGGGCGGCGGCCGCGGTCAGAGGTGAGCGGCGCTGGCGGGCAGGTGACCCGCGATCCGCCGCCTCCCATGCAAAGCATGTACCTAAGCTGCAATGATATTTCTCGGCTGAAGGGAGTCCGTGTATGCCAAGCGTTGATGGATCACAAGGTGTTTGAGCCAGTTGGAGCAAAACTTTACTTATTCAAGAACGAGAAAGAAACAGAGTTTGAAGACACAAACACTAGTCTATATAAATTTGTAAATAGCAGTCTTACTCCGCTTCTTCCAAGAAAGAATAAAGACAATGAGAGCTTTTCTCCTGAGCAGATCTGCAAACAGAAAACAAAAAGATGTCCCAAGTGAGTTACTCTGAACCTG